GTGTGTGTGTGTGTGTGTGTGTGTGTGTGTGTGTGTATGTGTGTGTGTGTGTGTGTCTTCCTCTCTCTCTCCCCCTTGGTTCCCTCTTCTCTAGCTCCTTTATGGCTTTCTCTTTCCTCTTCTCTGCCCCACTCCTAGGATAGGTCTAAGCTGCTCGACACTATGGGAATGGTACCCATTCTGAAGACTTGGTACCCATTCTGAACACTTGGAGGTCTCAAACATTTTAATGCTCTCTTTCTGGGAGTGACCAGGCTTGGAGAATCCTCCCCAAACCCCTCTTCCCGGCCCTAAGATTCCATCATGCCCAGCCCCATACCACAGTGCCCTCCCACTTGTGTCCTCCAGGATGGGAAGATGCATCAATTCCTGCCTTGTCACCTGCCTCCTGAAGCATCTCCTATTGAAACTGGAGACTGCAAAGGTACCCCCGCATTATGGAACCTTGGTCCTTAACCTATATAAGAGCATTTATCCCCAAAGGCCCACAAGAAAATAACCCTTGTGGTTTAAAATTAAACAGTGGCCCTGAGTGTAGCTTAGAAAGGACAGACACTTCAAGCCAAACGTTTTCATGTAAAGCAAATCCACTCGGCAGCAATCCTGTTCCCACTGCCTGGCCACCAGAGATCGGTGTTGCTGTTTTCCTAAGTCCGTATAGCATTAGCAAACAGGAGAACAGCTCAATTAGAGCCAACGGGGCTGTGTCTGTGAATCCCAGGGACGGTCTCATGGGGCCAGATTTCCAGATGTGTTCAGTCCAGGTGTGAGGGAGCCCAGCTAGGTGTGCAGACAGAAGACTTCAGGTGGTGAGTATAGTGGACGAGAATGGGTACCCAGGCCTCCCCAAACTGTAACCCACTTCACACCCCCATGGTGGGTTTATATGGCACTCTGTCTGGGACCTGCTTGCTAATAGAATTCCTAAAATAATTGGGATGAGGGTGAGTTGTCTCTAAGTTGTGTACATTTATGGTCATTTTATTCTCTTAAAGGTGGCCAAGTTTCCCAGGAAAACTGAGGGTTAGGAGGTGGTTCTGCCAAGACATTCAAGAAGCCAAGGACCAAAAGGACAGGAAAGTCCTAGAAGGAAGGTAGGATGTGGCTAGAAAGAACTCTGTGCCCCGGCCATGCAAGGCAGACTCTCAGCCCACCCTCCAGAACACGGACTGTGTATGCCGAGTGGAAGTGGCAGCCACAGGACATGTATGTCCAAGAGGGACACACTGGCTTAGTACATTAATAATCTGTAAAGTGCTTAGGAATCTTTAATCATCATAGGAAATATCTCTCAAGAGGTTCAAACAGAAAAAGTCAATGGAGACAGCTTTTTCTTGCCCTTTCATGAAGCTAAAACCCAGTTTAGTTGACTCCCTTTTGTTCTTCTGTGGTAAATGTCTCCTGGAATTAAGAGAAACTCTTTGGTGATCTTCTAACAATTTAGAAGTTCCTCTAAGCTCTGACATGTACTGTGATCTAGTGTGGTGAATGTCTTTGCTCAAGCTGGAGTCCTGTATATTGAAGTACCATACTTTGTGGAAATAACAGAGTCCTCCCATATCCTAGGGGCCATCAGGTGAGTGCTCATGAGGACTATGGTACTCATTGGGTGTAGAGCATCAACTGAAGATTGAGGCTACAGGAGGCCATGAAGGACATAAATTGGAGACCAAAGAAGAGATCCTGCTGCCTGCTCCCCAAAGAAATGGAGCCCCAAAGGAGAAGTGAGTTGCCTGAGCCCCTTGGAGCATGGCTGCTGCCAGATGCCTGGTCACCTGACTGACTCTATGACCCTTACCATAATAAAGTTGCTCCTAAGCTAAAAGGCTGGGTGCCTTTCAACATTTAATGTCTGCAGATCACTTCCCACTGGGAGCCACAGAATAGCTCATGTGCTCTCATCCTTGGCTCTGGCAGGTCTGGAGTGGTCTACAACAAAGCCAGAAGGGAGCAGGTTTACTCATGGGGGGGGTATCCCTCTCAGGGACCACTCTCAGCTTCCTCCTGCATCAACCATTTGCATCCAGGTGACCTAAAGATCTGCTTTTGGGTGACCATGTTACCAAGGGAATCTGAAAGGGCTGAAAAAAAATTATGGTCCTTTTCCTTAACAAGATGGCACATGACTTTAATCCCAGCACTTGGGAGGCAGAGACAGGCAGATCTCTGAGTTTGAGGCCAGCCTGGTCTACAAAGTGAGTTCCGGGACAGCCAGAGATACACAGAAGAACCCTGTCTCAAAGAGAGAGAGAGAGAGAGGAGAGAGAGAGAGAGAGAGAGAGAGAGAGAGAGAGAGAGAGAGAGAGAGAGAGAATATCACAAAAACAAGAGCTCATCAGAGTGTGAACTCTTAATTACCAACCACAGAGGCCACTGTGCCTTCCCAGCCAAACACCCACCTCTGGCCCTTCCTCAGGTACAGGCCATACTTTGGAGTAGCCTCTCTTTGTGGTTAGCCCCAACCCTCCTCCCAGGACATACCAATCACTGAACTCAAAACAGAAAAGCAATGTGTCTGTCATATAAAAAGCAATAATTTGGTAAATCAACTCCAATTTGCCTTCCCAGGTTGGTTGCCTTTTCTCCTTTTATATGGATAACTAAGAGCATCTTATGTAAATCTCACAGCAGAAATTTAAGAAAGAAACTTAACACCATGAACAGGTTATGGCTGAATGGGCGTGTCCGGACAGCATAGAGCAGGAAGACAAACTCCTCGGAGAAACGCCAGCATCAGTGCACACAACTGGATGTTTGTGATAATGAACTAACTGCACAGAGTTCCCTGACTTTGCCCTGGGACTGGGCTCAGACTGTTCATTCAGGGACACCACTGTCAGTGTGTGCCTGTGTATTTAATCATTGAGAAGGTCCTTTGAGAAAAACAGAATATATATATGCACTAATCTGTTCCCATATTTAGAGTTTCTCCTTCACTGGAGTATCAGAATTCCGTTAAAATATACACTCTTCCAAAACTTGTGAACAGAGACTGCAGGTTTCCTGCAAACCTTGCCTTCCTTGGTCTCTTGCATCTGAAACAGACACCTTCTTGTCACTCTGTTCCATCGATGGGGACTCTTTGGAGTCTCCTGTGCAGCACAGAACAGAAAGCTGACCATGGTGGGAAGGGTCTAGGTTATAAGAGTAAAGGTAGGCCCAAAGGGGGTTATTTGTGTTTGTCCCAGGTCTGAATCCAAACTTGTGAGGCTTGTATAATCCCATGTGTGTATGTGGTGGTGGTGGTGGTGGTGGTGGTAAGGGATCAACAGGAAGCAGAATTACCAGTGTTCATGCAGAGCTCTGAAATGAAGTTGATTGAATGTCCCAGGGGCCTGGGTCTATGTGGCTCCCTTTGCAGGCAGCAGACAGGATGTTTCCAAAAACACTCAACTGGTGTTAAGGCAGTTGTTTGTTATCCAGAGGTGGAGATGGTAAGGAGGAAGTGAGCAGGGGCAGGAGGAACAGTACGAAGCATGATGAGGTGGGTGTCCCAAAATGAGAGGTGGGTGGAGGCTGGGGCTGGGTCCATAAAAATGGGAGAATTGGAATCCATGGAGGTCTCTTCTAAGCTCCATCAGTTACCACTGGGGAGTGTCTCAGGAAATAGGCTGCTTTTGAAGAGGAAATGCTACCAAGCCTTCTTGCTTAGAGACCCCAATGGAGGGACTGGGCCCTGAAAGAAGGAAGACAGAACAGCAGACGCCTGGCTATGTGGCTCCAGGGAGTCCTCCCAGCTGTCAGTGTTGCGGGTGGAAGATAAAGGAACCTTTCTGTGCCTCCTTCCTCCTTCCTTCATACTCCATCCTGCCCCTCCCAAACCCCAGCCCCTTAGAGCTTGCAGCAGGGCCCCTCAGAAGCCTGTCCTAGCCAAAGTGACCAACTCAGCAGGTGCGACAGTATCTGCTGGATTTGGGAGAAATGGATTTAAATGGTGGGCAAAGCTGGGGACAACGTACTCAGCCTGGAGGAGGCACACAGGAGAAGGTACAGATGGACAGATGGAGGCATAGGTGACCCACCCTCCTTGTGTATTCCACCTCTCTCAGTTCCCCAGATTCCAGAGCACTCAGAAAGGAAGAGGAGGGTCTCCTGTGTTCCCTTTGTGCCAGCTCAGTCTATACCCTGGTGGAGCTGCATCACTTGGTTGGAGCCATGTGAACCTTGCACCTGGAGGGGACAGCACCTTGCTTCACCTTCATTAGGCCTTTGGGGATTGCCCTTCTTTTCCACTGGCACCCACAGTGTGACCTCTCCTCATGTCTTCTTAAGCCCAGGCCCTCCTCTCTATCCCTTCCCCTAGTTAGAGACTCCTTAATGCTGCAGTGTGATCTCAGCGGTCAGGATAATGAGTGGTTGTTGTAAGACATACTGGATAGACTGTTTCATCTAGTTGAGGTGACACCTTTGTCCGGTCACCAAGGCCAAGGTTGAGAACAACTTCTAATCTACATTTCTCTACTCCCACCCTCTTGTTGGGCACTTCCCTTGAGGATGTGAGTTAATTCTTGAAGCCTTGGACCCTATGCCCTGCCCCCATGGAACCAATTAGATAGTGTACAGTGTGTGCAGAATTGGGAAGTGTGTAAAACATACTGAAAACTAGGAAGCTTGAAGGGCCAGAGCCCAAAAGCCCAGCTCATGGGACAACGAAAGCAGGTGACCCAAAAAACATAAACCCTTTCCTTTCTGCCCCCTCCCTGCCGTGAAGAGTCAGGGTAGGGTGAGAACAAGCCTGCTACAACAAACACAGGCAATGTAGACTGCAAATGTAGCCAGACTGCCCTAACCTGTCACAGCATGGAGGAAGAGGCTGGGCCTAAGGACCTTTTTCCACTTCTGACACTGGGTACTGTGGCCTGTCTCCGCTACCCAGGGCTCTTCAGAACCCTGCCCAAGACACACAATACAGAGATGGCCTATGTCACTGGGCTCTCTGGCACCCACTACCATTATCCCAGAAAACAGGGGAGTGGCTTTCCTTCTTGCCTGTTTGTGAATTGTTGCTTGTTAAAGGGCCATCTGAAGATGGATGGGGAAGTTGAGGAGCCTGTACCCCCCAATGTCCTGCTGAGGCTCCCCACTGGGAGAAGGATGTGAGGGGTGAGGGGGTGTTGTGGTATGAATTAACATAATGACTCAAAACTGCACTAATGTTTCACAGCTTTTTTTTTTATTAGCAATACCAAGATAACTTATTGAAGCATTTTTAGTATTGTTTTACATTCCATTCATAAATGACCTAACTTGTAACTCAGCATACAGCACACGGAAAGATAGAGTTTGACACTTATGCAGGAAACTACAATTATGATAACTTACATGCCTTCATTACCAGGAACACCTTAATATATCTTCTAATTATTTCAACAACAGTCTATTCCAAAGCACAGGATAACCCGGTACACGTTTACACATTTCGCTTCGATCGCCGTTTTTAAGTTGTGGATGTCAAAGTGCTGTTCGCTGGGGCTTTACTGTCAGCTGTTCCTGGTTAATACGACGACCTGACACAATATTAAACTAGCAATATTTCTGCTTAAATACTATGGAGAAAGATAATTACTGCACTTTTCTGTATTCTTCTAAAGTGTTACAAAATACACGACAATCAGACACAAGCAAGGAATGCTGACAGGACTATCATGGGGCCCTGTGAGCTCAGGTGAGCAGGTAGGACATACACACGGCCCCCAGCCAGGTTTTCATTGATCTAAGAACCTGTCACCCACCAGGATTTGTCAGTTGGGATTTGTGACATGGAGTGAACCTCCTCTCCCACTCAGGTTACTAAGCATTTTCATCTGTTATTACCAGGAAACATCTGGGGAGATGGAGGGTGGGGGTGACATTTTCAGCTGCTCTAACTCTACAAAGACTGTAGGCTGGTGTGCTGTGTGCACACACATACCTGTGCCAGTAGGAACTATTTACTCAAAACATGTATGTATATACGTTCTTCTGTTGACTTTGCACGGTTAACAAGCTGCAGATAAACCACGAAGGAGCACGAACAGACAAGGGGAGGTCCAGACAGAGCGAATAGGACATGGGGTGTCACTTACCTGAAAGAAAATGTGTAGATTTATTAATCCAGAAACTGTTTGGGGCTAACAGTGCTTGAAAGTGAGGGCAGGGTCATTGTCCCTATTGTTTAATAGAAGGATGACAATGA